AAACATTTGAGCTCATCAGATCTCTCTACTATGTTGTTGTTGTTGTTGATCATGAACAGATTACAAATCTGTTGGATCTAATTTTTTTTTTTTGGCAGGGAAATTTTCGGGGTCGGGGAAGCCCGATCCCTGTTAGGGGCGCGGGGACGGGAATGGATATAAGTTCCTCGTCAGGGATCGGGGTCGGGGACGGGGGAATTTCCAACGTCGGGGATCGGGGACGGGGGGTATCATCCCCGGTCCGGCCCGACCCCGTTGCCATTCCTATCCACACTCCTGACACTGGGTATGGTTTTCCTAGGCCTAGAAGGTTTGTCTTACCAACCATATGTGTTGTTGCCCATGTGGTTGGTGCAAGGAAGAGTAGAACCCACGACCTCAAGGTTTCTACCTCAAAACCTTACCAAGTTGCCACACCCCCTTGGATTATTTATTTATTTTTTAGTGTCGCTAAATGACTCTACCTATTTACTTCGACCCTCCACTTCTTTCAATCCCTACTCGCATAATTGAAACCCACACTATCTCCTCTTTGTAACCCCCTTAATACCAACTATACCTTGTTCTTTGGACCCCAAACTATTCTTCTTCTAGTAACCCTTTCCACCGCCAGCAGGCTTTACTATCGGTGGTGACCTTCACCCTCACCAACAACCCCACTACCCCTATCCAATACAGCTCCATGCTAGAATCCCTAGCTAATTTTTGCCACCTCTCACTCGCCCTTCCTCAACTTCCCTCTATCCCTCCTCTACTTCGCTATCCCTTAACCCATCCCCAACCACTACCACCATTCAGCCCCGCCTCTACTTCTACTTCTATCTCTACCTATACCTCATCGCTCTCTCATTCACTCACTCTCGTCGCTCTCTCTATGTTTCTCTCTCGTGTCACAATCAAGATCGCGACTATTAAGTCGTTCACCTCTCTCTTTTAGGATCAAGTGGTTAGGGTTTGCGAAATTAAAGTTAGAATGTTAAAGATGAAGGTAAAAATGAAATTTCATGTTTGGAAAAAATTAAAATTAAAAATAAAAAAATAAAAAAATAAAAGAGACGGGAAAAAATGTAAGGGTAAATAACATACTTTTTTATTTTTATATAGTGTACAACATTTTAACAATGGCCTTGTTTAGAAAATTGACTGTTTTAGTAAATTATTTTAATTTTTGACTATTTTAATATGTTAAAACATTTGTATTTAGAAAAATAATTAGATTTTTTTTGTAATTAGATGTGATATTTATAAGAAAAAAGTAACATAATTATAAATTTGATATAATATTTTATATTATTAATTATTTTAATTTATCTTATTTTTTTTATGAATTTTAACTCCAAAAAAAAACTTTTACCAAACAACACCAATATTTTGTATAGCATTATTTTTGCATGTAATTACGAAACACGCGCTTAAATCCAACGGCCCACATAGTCACTTTAGACCTTTTAACTGTTTCGCTCCTCATAAATAAATAAAATAAAAGCACACACAGACTGAGTCAGTACTCGTCACGACTCACCCTTCCCAAGTCCCGACCATTTTCAGCGACAATACCAAAACACTGACTCTTCTTTTCTCTCTCACCTTTTATTTTTTATTTTTTATTTTTTATTTTTTATTTTTTCAGATCAAAAATAGAAAATCATGCAGATAATAAAATCAACTTAAAAATTTATTTTTATTTTTATTTTTATTTTTATTTTTTGGCTAAAACAGATACCCAAAGTTCTACTACCATACTAGTTGATGCTCCAGAATAGAGATGGTGATTTTAATTTGATCCGCGGAGCCCGTCTATATACATTCAAATAAGGCAAATTTTATCCACAGTTATGTGAGGCGGGAGTAGATTATATTTTGGTTACTCGCAACAGAGACAGGACGGAAGCGGGTGTTATCTCCTACGATTTAAACCCAACCCAATATAATTAATATTATATAAATAAACAATATATATGTATACATAATATAATTAGATATAAGAAAAGAATACTAAAAGTTTGTGATTTCTATTAAATATAAATAAATAATAATTTTAAAAGTCTCACTGTTTATATATATGGAAACAAGAGAAATTATTTAGTGTGTTAAGAATTTAAATGATTCTCAATTTTTTTTGTTATTTGAAATGCGGTCAGACATCCGCGGATATTGGGTATTCGCTGGAGGAAATGGGGTTGAAAAATTTCATCCGTAGCGAGGTTAGAGCAGGGGCAAAAGATAACAAGCCAGCCCCAAACTTGCCCCGTGGCTATCCCTAGAAGAGGAGACTCCAGTGTTGATGTCGATAGCGGTAGTGGCAACATTAGACGGTGATTTTAGGGTTAGGGTCAGAATTAGTGGAGAAATGATGAAAATGAGGGTATTTGAGGAATTTGCTGGTGTGAATTGAGAAAAAAGAATTTAAAAAAAATAAAATTGTGTGGTGTGAATTAAGGCTTGGTTTGGTATACTTTGAAAAAATCAAAAAGTCAAAAAGTTATTATCCTATTTAAGTCATATCATCTTATTTAAGTCACATCACCCCTCTACTACATCACTTTCAACCCAATTCATGTTTCATAAAAAGTCAAAAAGTGCACTTATTTCAAATATCCCAAACAATCTTGTAAAATGAGATAATTAGTAGTGTATAAACAGAGGCTCCTCGTCTCAATGTAGATTAGGGATGGCAATTTAAACCCGGCCCGATGGGGACCCGATTCCCCGACCCCGATTAGAATGGTTTTTTCCCGAAAAATACCCCTGTGGGGACGGGGATGGTATTCGAAATTAAATCCCCGATCAGTTTTGGCTCAAGGACGGGGATCAGTGTTCAAGCCCCGGTCCGTCCCTGTCCCCGGCCCCGAATTTTTCCGAAATAAAATTACTATTTTACCCCTATATATATATATAAACCAACCCTTTTCACTCACATCACAACACAACACAACAACATCAAACCAACCCTCGTTTCTCTCTCTCTCTCGCTCTCTTTAAAACCCTCCGCCGATCTCCATCCTCCCATCACCGCGATCTCCCTCCTCCCATCGCCGCCGAGATCTGAGTTACCTTTCCCTGACCTCCGTCACTATCTCCGACCACCGCTCCATTGTCTCTTTTTCTTCTCTAACTGCAGTGAGGCCAAGCTTGCTGAAGTATCGTCTCTTTTTCGATCCGGCAGTGACACCATCCGACGGTGACCCTAGATCTGGAATTTTCCTTCTCTCTCTCTCTCTCTCGATTTGTTATGTATATACATATATATATATATATATATATATGTGTATATATATATATATATATATTAGATTTGAGCATCAGATCTCTCTCTCTATATATATATGTTGTTGTTGTTGATGATGATGATGATGATGAACAAATCTGTTAGATCTGAATTTTTTTTTTTTTAAACATTTGAGCTCATCAGATCTCTCTACTATGTTGTTGTTGTTGTTGATCATGAACAGATTACAAATCTGTTGGATCTAATTTTTTTTTTTTGGCAGGGAAATTTTCGGGGTCGGGGAAGCGTCGGGGACGGGGGTGGATATAAGTTCCCCGTTGGGGATCGGCGCTGGGGACGGAGGAATTTTCACCGTCGGGGATCGGGGATCGAGGACGGGGGGTATGATCCTCGGCCCGGCCCGGCCCTGTTGCCATTCCTATCCACACTCCTGACACTGGGTATGGTTTTCCCTGGCCTAGAAGGTTTGTCTTACCAACCATACGTGTTGTTGCCCATATGGTTGGTGCAAGGAAGAATGGAACCCACGACCTCAAGGTTTCTACCTCAAAACCTTACCAAGTTGCCACACCCCCTTGGGTTACTTATTTATTTTTTAGTGTCGCTAAATGACTCTACCTATTTACTTCGACCCTCCACTTCTTTGAATCCCTACTGACATAATTGAAACCCACACCATCTCCTCTTTGTAACCTCCTTAATACCAACTATACCTTGTTCTTTGGACCCTAACTATTCTTCTTCTAGTAACCCTTTCCACCGCCAGCAGGCTTTACTATCGGCGGTGACCTTCACCCTCACTAACAACCCCACTACCCTTATCCAATACAGCTCCACGCTGGAATCCCTAGCTAATTTTTGCCACCTCTCACTCGCCCTTCCTCAACTTCCCTCTGTCCCTCCTCTACTTCGCTATCCCTTAACCCATCCCCAACCACTACCACCATTTAGCCCCACTTCTACTTCTACCTCTATCTCTACTTATACCTCATCGCTCTCTCATTCACTCACTCTCGTCGCTCTCTCTATGTCTCTCTCTCGTGTCACAATCAAGATCGCGACTATTAAGTCGTTCACCTCTCTCTTTTAGGATCACGTGGTTAGGGTTTGCGAAATTAGAGTTAGAATGTTAAAGATGAAGGTAAAAATGAAATTTCATGTTTGGATAAAATTAAAATTAAAAAAAAAATAAAATAAAAGAGACGGGAAAAAATGTAAGGGTAAATAACATACTTTTTATTTTTATATAGTGTACAACATTTTAACAATGGCCTTGTTAGGAAAATTGACTGTTTTAGTAAATTATTTTAATTTTTGACTATTTTAATATGTTATAATATTTGTATTTAGAAAAATAATTAAATTTTTTTGTAGTTAGATGTGATATTTATGAAAAAAAAAGTGATATAATTATAAATTTGATGTGATATTTTGTATTATTAATTATTTTAATTTATCTTATTTTTTTTATAAATTTTAACTCCAAAAAAAAAACTTTTACCAATCAAGATCAATATTTTGTATAGCATTATTTTTGCATGTAATTACGAAACACGCCCTTGAATCCAACGGCCCACATAAATTCATAAATAAAGTCACTTTAGACCTTTTAACTGTTTCGCCCCTCATAAATAAATAAAATAAAAGCACACACAGACTGAGTCAGTACTTGTCATGACTCACCCTTCCCAAGCCCCGACCATTTTCAGCGACAATACCAAAACACTGACTCTTCCTTTCTCTCTCACCCTTTTTATTTTTTATTTTTTATTTTTTCAGATCAAAAATAGAAAATCATGCAGATAATAAAATCAACTTAAAAATTTATTTTTATTTTTATTTTTATTTTTTTGGATAAAAAAGACAGATCTGAGTTCCAGAAATCGAATCGAAACCCTTGGACAGATCTCATTTCCATCACTCTCTCTGTCTCTCGCATTCTCATTTCCTGGATTCCTAATGGTTTTCTACATCCATGAAGCTTTGCCTCCCTATAGATACGTATAGATCAAATTATATACATATATATCTATATTGGCGATTGGTGTTGAGGTGTGGCGGAGATGGATCATTCGTATCAGCGGCGGAGAGGAGTGGTGGTGCCGGAGCCGTGCCCTCACTTGGCGGAGTTCCGATCGCGGCGTGGTGGTGCGAAGCCGTTCAGGGCGTTGCAGGAGTGTCTGAGGGTGCGCCCGCCAGGCCGTGCGGCGATCCGCAGGGACCCCAACGAGGTGCCGCGTTGCGCCTCCTGTGGCTCTTCCACACCGCCGCGGCTCTATGCCTGTGTTGCCTGCGCCGCCATCTCCTGCCACTCCCACGCTGCATCGCACGCGGCGGCGGCTGCAGGGCACGAGATCGCCGTCGACGTCGACCGGGCGGAGTTGTTCTGCTGCTTGTGCCGGGACCAGGTGTACGACCGCGATTTCGACGCCGCCGTGGTCCTCGCGCAGACCGCCGCATCCACTCTCGGAGGCGGATCCGCGATCCGATCGCCCCCTGAGAACCTCCGGAAGCGGCGGCGCGTGGATTACCGGCCTTGGTCCCCCGATGTGAGGGAGCGCGCGTTGGTGGGGAGAAATTCGAGTCCGTTGAATCGAAGAACAATCTTGGGTGGAGACTCGTCGTCTTCAGACCTACCTTGGGGATTGCGAGGGCTCAACAATCTCGGGAACACATGCTTCATGAACTCTGTGTTGCAAGCATTTCTTCACACTCCGCCATTGAGGAACTATTTCTTGAGCGATCGCCACAATCGGTATTTTTGTCAGCAGCAGAGCAGCAGTGTTAAGAAAAACGACACCAATTACAATAAGAATTCCAGACTTTGTTTGGCTTGTGACATGGATGCAATGTACTCAGCTGTGTTTTCGGGAGATCGGAAGCCCTATAGCCCTGCAAAATTTCTATACAGGTCCTCCTCAAGCTCGGAACTTGTTAAATATTGAATGCATTGATTACTGATTGTGTTTTTTTTATCACTTTTTGATATGATAGGTTCAATGTGATCATACATTTGGGGTTATGTAGCTTTGGGTTATTGTAATCTTTTTCAAAGTATATGGAGTAGAGTATTTTTTTGAAAGTATATGGGTTATTGTAATCGTTTCAAAGTATACATATACGTGTGCATGTATACGTATTTGAGCTTTAGATCTACTTATTCATCTTTTTTGGGTAGTTGAGACCAAGTTATATGTAGTCTTTTTTTTGGTATATTCTATTACAGTTGGTGGCAGCATGCAGCAAACCTGGCAAGTTATGAACAACAGGATGCACATGAAATTTTCATTTCCATGCTTGATGGGATTCATGAAAAAGTGGAGAAGGATAAAAGAAAGCCCCATAGTCAAGGTAAGTTCATACCTGGATAACTTTCTATTAGTTGTCCTTATCTTTCTAGAGTAGTCCCTTTCTTTAACTGTGAGGTCAAATGCCCCAAAAACTAGACATTGGGGACTGTAAAAACAAGTATGAAGTTTTTGTAGCAATTATGCAACTTGCTGAAATTAACGGTCAACAGGTCCCAGCTAGTAATAATCTATGCTTGAATATTCTGTGTTTTCGGTTGTGTGAATCTACAAGTGTCTTGTTTAGTTATCTACGTGTTGTGAATATTTAGGCCAAAGAACCTTCTAGGTAGGACCTGTCTTTAACATCGTGGGCCCAATTCAGTTTGCTTGTCTGCATGCATTGTGGCATGCTAATACTGATTATGCAGAATTTGTTTGTTATCATATTTTTTTTGTACTTATTCTAAGAGAAGTTGGTTTCCATGGAGATTATTGTGGCATTCAAGTGCAATAAGGTCTTATACTTGTTTCTACATGTTATCACACTAGACATTTGTGGGAGTTTATGAAGTTGGCATTGCAAGCATGATGCTGCTTGCATCCTTTTTTTGATCTTGCCTAGCAGGTGGTGCAATTGTGAACTTTCGACTAAAAATTTATTGGATGATTTGGTTAAAGTTGTGTCCACTCTCGAGTTCTTAATTGATCAAAGATACAGTAACAAATTGATGATTGTTCTTCAAGATATTGACACGCTGATTGCCTTCTTCCTAAGACTAGGATTCAATCATATGATTGTCAAAGTTTAGTCTAAGCTGCATCATGGTAACTAAGAGTTGGGATCTTGGAGAGTTTATTATGGATACAAACACTAAACAAACACTACGCTGCAGGACTCTGTAGATGTGTAATGAGGCACAATGAAGTTTGCCGCCATTTTAAAATAATCTAAACAATCAGTCGATATCCCTACCTTCTTTATTCTGGTACTAGTATTATATTCTGATCATGCTGATCAAGATTAAGCAGTAACTGCAATATTCAACTGCAGGGTGTGGGTTTAGGTCCGTTGTTGCCTTTTAGGCGTTGTTGGCAAGTGCTCTCAGATTTAGGGCTAACACTCAACATGCGAGATTGTCATCTGCTCCACTCCAGTAAGTCTCCTTATTCCTTAGTCTACATGGTTTTAAGATAGGAATTTCTTGTGCCACATTAATTCTCATGTTAACTCCCCTTGTGCCATTTTTAGGGTCTGATCTTTTTGACATGGCTGATGCCAAGCCTGCAGAGTGTTCGTGAGATTTACAACTGGTATAAATTCTTTAGTTGAATCTTTATGATCTCATGTTGTTCACAGATCATAGTTTCTTGGTACCTCATGATCTTGTGGAGATTTTGGCATATTGAGATAGATTTTTGAACTTCTTGACAGATTTGCAACTAGTTGGCGATAAGGGATGAGACACAGTTATCGTAGTGGCAATTTTCTTAGACCATCTCTTGGTAAATGCTGCACCAATTGCCTCTCCACAAGCCATTCTTTCCATTGTCTTGGATGTCAGTAGATGTGGTAGTTAGGAGCAATCTTTTGTTGAGAATTTGTTAGTGAGTTTGGTAGCATAATCGTTTTAGGATTACATGAGAGCTTCCAAATATATATATATATATGTATATATTTGGATAAATCATGAGAGCTTCCAAATATGATTCTAGAGTTTTCTCCCCACTAGCAGAAATTATCCAAAAGGACATAGGGGAAAGGCTGATATTTGGGCTAATAATAGTTTATATATCATCGTCCTTGATTCATTAACAATTTGTTTCATGTAGATATAGATTGCTAATTGAAACATCAGTTGCTCAAATTTTCATACATGTTTGTACTTGTTCATGTTATAGCTGCATACTTCTCTCATCAAATGTTTATAATCCTCTATAATTTAACCTCTGTGGTTTCAGCTGTCATGACAAAATGGCAAATGTTCAAATAAGGAATTTCCTGTTATGTACTGTAATTATTTAGTATCATATGAAATGTGCTTGTGACCTTGTTTATTCCATAATGCAGGCAATGGAGACTGCTGTATTGCGCATAGAGTATTCTGTGGCATCTTGCGATCTGATGTCATGTGTACTGCATGTGGTTTTACATCAACAACATATGATCCATGTGTGGACATCTCATTGGACTTGGAACCAAGCCAGGGCGGTTCTGGAAAAACATCCACAAAATCCTTTCACTCTTCCAATACCGAGGCAGATTCGAAGAATTCAAGCCAAAACTCTGGAATATCTACCCTGATGGGGTGTTTGGACCGTTTTACAAGACCTGAGAGATTAGGATCTGACCAAAAATTCTTCTGCCAACAGTGTCAAGTGAGACAGGAATCACTCAAACAGATGTCGATAAGAAAGCTTCCATTGGTTTCTTGCTTTCACATCAAAAGATTTGAGCATTCTCCAATCCGAAATATGTCGAGGAAAGTTGACCGTTATTTACAGTTCCCATTTTCCTTGGACATGGCACCTTATCTCTCTTCATCTATCTTGAGAAGTAGATATGGAAACCGGATTTTTTCTTTTGATGGGGATGAGCCGGATGTTTCCAGTGAGTTGTCTTCGGAGTTTGAGTTGTTTGCTGTAATCACTCACACTGGCAAACTAGATGCTGGCCATTATGTGACATATTTGCGGTTAAGTAATCAATGGTACAAGTGTGACGATGCTTGGGTCACTCGAGTGAATGAGAACATCGTGAGGGCTGCACAAGGATACATGATGTTCTACGTACAAAAGATGCTATATTACAAAGCAAGTGAAAGACCAGTTGCCTCGTGATATGCTACAGAAACCAAGCTCATGGATAAAACAATTGCAGTGAATAGAAGTTTGAACGGTTCATTGGCAGTCAAATGGTTCATATACAATTATTGAAGAAAACGGCCATTGTTACACGCTGTGAAGATCAATTTTATTGAGTTGCTGTTATCATCAGTCAAAAATCATGCAACTCTTTCTGCTGCTCTGAGTACATTTTTTAAGAGGTAATTTTGTAAAATCTCAGTTGGAGCGTAAATTGAGCCTGAATATTTGGTGGCGTTCTCCTGCAATTTGGAACCTTTTAACATAAAAATATGGATTCCTAAAAACAAGAATAGGAAAAAGAAATAGAAAAGAATCATTTCAATTGATTAATTTTTCCCTCTGCATTCAAGTGGTGTCAGTGGGTTGATTATTTGTGTTCTTTAATTTCTGTTTTATTATTTAAACTTGGATCCTCTGGAGTTGCAAGCTACAGTTTGCTAATATACTAATCCCCCTTTACATGGTTACTTCTAATCTGAATTTTGGAAATCTCTTGAACATGAACTGGTTTTCCATCTCTTTCTTAGAGTTGATCTACTGTCATCTATGTACATGCTGATAAATTTGAGGTTTCTGGAGTATAACATATCAATAATAATGTTACATTACATCCACAGAAAAAAATAAAATAAAAATAAAAAAATCACTGAAAAATCAGTACGTGACCAAATTAATTATGTGTGTGTGGTATTATTACTTGATAACATATACCATATTTAGCTAACTGTTGGTTGACAAATCTGAGTCTCCCCCCACTGAATCAAGCATTCAATGCTTTATTCTACTTACCCAGAAAAACAGAGCCATTGATAGAGAGGCGTTTAACAAATTTAAACCTGGTCAATGGGCATTATCTTGTGAATCCAGAATTCTCGTCCTTGCATGTTTGTGAATGATTGAGCATAATGGGTTTGTGTGACCGTTATCAAGATTATCTGACTTTGAACCCCTCTCCATCTGAATAATTTTTTTGTTATCCCTTGAAATCTCCTCAGATTGTTCACTTATCCCAATATTTTTCAACTGCCCTTTATAATTGAATATAACCAAAGAGTAATGTTAGAAATTAAGAATTTAGATACAGTAGTAAGAAAAAAAATAATATGTGGTATATATTTAATTCTTGTATGTTGGGGATTCACACTTAATTTTTCTGGTTACTTTTCTATATTTGAACTATTTGTCTTTAGCTTTATTGCACAATTTATATCACCATTTTTGTTTACTCTCCATATGATTTTTTTATACTTTTTATTAGATCATTTTTTATATTCACCTATCACCTCTTGAGTGAGAGCGATGAAATTTTTTTTATGATAAACATTAATTTTATATTATTATAGTCATATATTTTTATTAATATCAATTATATTTTATACTTTTTTTAAAAAAAATTAATAAAATGAATAGCATAAATAGGATTAAAAACAAAAAGCACAAAATAATAATGCACAACTTGATAAAATCTATGCATCAATTAAGCTTTTGAAATTCTATTATAATAAAAAAATGTGTATATTAAAAGAATTTGAAGGAGAAAACATATTTTGGCCCCCTTCATTGAAAATCCTGGTATTGCCCTTGGGCGTTTTGGGTAGATTATTTGTGTTTCATCAATGCACATACTCAGTCGGCCCCACACAACAAGCTTGGAAGATTTGCTCCATTACCCATTAATGTAAATATTACAAACATGATTTTCTTTTTTTAGATGGACTTGCGTACATGAATTTTAAATCATATCAAAAAGGTTTTGTCCAAAAACAATTTTAAAAAACTTTCAAAGATCTGTTTTGAATTGATTTAGAAAATTGTCCTTTCTTTAACAAGGCGATCCATCGCACCTTGTAAGCGATCTGTCGCTTGGGCAGACAATCGATAGTCGATCAATAATTTTTTTGGTTCTGGGTTGAATGTTGATGATGGTGATGTTGATGAAGATGAGCCCAGATCTTAATATTTCTCTTTCTTTTTTTTTTTTTTTTTTTTTTTTTTTTTCTGACTCTGTGTTGATGATGGTGATGTTGGTTGAATGGTTGTTGATGATGATGTTGATGAATGGTTGTTGATGATGATGATGTTGTCTCTCTCTCTCTCTCTCTCTCTTTCTTTGCTACTCTCCTCTTCCTCCTCTTCCTTCTTTCTTCTTCTTCTTCTTCTCCTTCTCCCTCTGCGTCACCGTGGAAAAAAAAAAAAAAAAAAATCAAAACGACGAAACGACGTCGTTTTGAATTCGAGGGATTTGGGGAAGGGGGATTCGAGCTATGTAGCACAACTGTTAAAAAGAATTTGAAGGAGAAAACATATTTTAGCCCCCAGTCATGCTGTAGAGCTCTAATTAGAGTTGCTACAGTGCAGCTCTAATGAGCTGTCCACCCATTAAAAAAAAAAAAAAAAAACAGTGAAGTAAAAGACAAAAAAAAGAGAAGAAAAAGATAAATTAATACTCTATTAGAGGTCTATTTTTAGAGGTTGAAATCATTTTTGTTTTAGCCCCCTTCATTGAAAATCCTGGTATTGCCCTTGGGCGTTTTGGGTAGATTATTTGTGTTTCATCAATGCACATACTCAGTCGGCCCCACACAACAAGCTTGGAAGATTTGCTCCATTACCCATTAATGTAAATATTACAAACATGATTTTCTTTTTTTAGATGGACTTGCGTACATGAATTTTAAATCATATCAAAAAGGTTTTGTCCAAAAACAATTTTAAAAAACTTTCAAAGATCTGTTTTGAATTGATTTAGAAAATTGTCCTTTCTTTAACGAGGTGATCCATCGCACCTTGTAAGCGATCTGTCGTGTGGGCACACAATTGATAGCCGATCGATTGGTTTGTTGGTTAAGCGATCACTTAAGGTCTGTTTAATAATCATTTCGTTTTTAATCTTCAATTTATATCTATAAAGTTTTTAAAAATTATCATAAAAACTTATTTGATAATTTTTTTAGTTTATAAGTAGTTGTCTCAATTTATAAATTTGAGAAAAAAACATGAACTCAAAAAATGAGTTTACGTTACTTTTTAAACAGAAATTTAAAAATTTGACTAATAAATTTTTTTCAAATAATTTTTATTTCAATTAATTTTTTTTCCAATTATAATGTATATGATCTTATTATCATAAATAATAAATATAATATTTTAGGCCTAAACAAACATATTTTTTAGTTTATATTTTTAAAAATTTTCAAATATTTTGTTCAAATCAAACACATTTGTAGTTTTTGTTTTTATAAAAATAAACAAAATCAGTTTATAAAATTTTTGTAAACATAAACAAAAAACATAAATGTTACCAAATCACCAAATAATTACTTTAATTTAATTGTTTAGTAGAACCCTACGATCGATCCCTTTTGGGTGATTGATTTGTGCGATCGATCGTTGTGCTGCTGATTTTTAAAACCTAATTTTATTTGTTTTGAAATTCCTTTTTCTCTATAAAAAGAATTTACAAACTTGTTTTTAGGTATCTCATCTATGGGTCTTTCATAGAAAATTTACATATTCTCTCTAGAGAGTTGAGTTTCAAAAACTCACAAATATCGTTCAAAATCTTTGCATTCTTGCATTGTGTGTTCTATACTCTTGGTCGGTTGGCTAATCAGAACCGTTCTGAATAGAGATCGAAGTTGAAGTTTTGTAGTTTCCTGAATATCAAGAAAGCTGACTAAGTCAGACTGTACTCGTGGAGTAACTACAGTACACTGTGTTACGCAAATCTAGGTAAAGGTTGTAAGCTCTCTCAACTTAGTGTTTCTATTCTTGGATCTTTAGTGTGTTCTGGGTTTTCCACATTATACCTAGTGTTTATGGGTTGATTATTTTTTATTGTCTTAACTTGTTTAATCAACTAAAATTGGACTATATGATCGAATTTTTAATAGAATAGCTTATTATTCACCACTCTCCAAGCTCTTTATATTTTGCAATTTTAATTGGTATCAGAGCAAAGTAACTCATTGACTTAGTTTGACTACTAAAGTTGATCTTATTCTGCTGTCATGGAGCCTGAATCATCCAAAAATAACTCTAAAGTAGTTGGTGGAGTGTCATCCGATATATAATTTCTAAGAAAAGATGACACACAAATCCTAGAAAGCATGCTCATCATTTTTCTCTTTAGATATTAGGAGAAGAAATTAGGATTTTTATATTATCCTATTGGTGGTTTGTCTATCACTCAATCACCAAGAAAAACCTACAACTAAAATAAATAAATGAAGTTTAAGAAAATCAAGAAATGTCTTCCTAGTATGTAAGATGATAGGGTGAGCGTTCTTCCATTTATGACAAATCTACTTTCTAGAGCATGCTTCAAAATTTCTCTCTCTCCAAGTGATGGCACAACTCCTAGATTGGTGGTAGCCCCACATGACAAGACAAAATAAATTTATCTATTTATTATATATAAATATATATCTACCTATCTCTCTATATATATGCATATATATCTATTATTCTAACTTGGTTGTTTGCCTGTAACCAATTATTAACTCATTTAGTTATTATAAACTTTTATCATTAACTCATATAGTTATTATAAACTTTTGTCTAGATTAAAAGTCTCATATCTAGCATTTTAACCATATGAATAATTAAATTGATAAGGTTCAATTTGCTACTAACCAGTCATCTCTAGTAAAAATTCCACTAAATGATTTTAATAAAATATGCATTAAAATTAATTTACTAAAAATTCGGATTCTCACAACCTACCTCCGTAAAATAATTTTGTCTTTGAAATTACATTATGTTATTTGAACAACTGAGGGTGATTGATACTTATAGCGTCCTCCCATTCCAATGTTGAATGTTCTATCCCTCGATGTTGCCATAGCACTTGTACCAATGGGATCACTTTGCCTCATAAAATTTTATTTTGTCAGTCCAAAATCTCCACTGGTTTTTTCTCAAATGTTGCATCAACTTCAAGGTCAATTTGCTTCCAATTTAAGATATGTAACTCATGGGATTTGTACTTTCTTAGCATACAAATGTGGAATACGTCATGCACTCCAACAAATTGTGGAGGTAATGCTAAACGGTAAGCTACTGCTCCTACTTTACCTAAGATCCCGAGGGGTCCAATATAACAAGGAGCCAGTTTGCCTTTCTTTCCAAAATGGATTGTCCCTTGCCATGGCTTGACTTTTAAAAACACATGATTACCCAGTTAAAAAGCCAACGACCTTTTTTTTTTTATCAGCATAGCTCTTTTATCTACCCTGAGCTGTCTCTAGTCTTTGTCATATAAGCTTTACCTTCCTAGTTGTTTACTAGACCAAAACTGGTCCCTATTGGCAGGAAATGGGCTATCTTTTTCAATCTATCAACTATCACCCAAACTCATTAATTGTCTCTATCATTTTACACTCTTTGGCCACAATGGAGGCTTTAACTTTGCGACTTAATGCATCTCTCACTACATTAGCCTTATTAGGATGGTAAGACAAAGTAA